GCCCGAGCGCGTCGCCCACGGGCGCTACTCGCCCGGCGTCGCGCTCGGTGGAGGGCGGGGCCCGCGCGGGCGGATCTGGGGCGAGGGGCAGGGGGGCGCGGCGACGCGGAGGACCGAGGAACGGGCGGGGGAGGGGGGCGATGGGGGAGTTGGGAGGGAGAGGGATGGAGGAGGATCAGGAGATCTTTGGGATTATTCTCGGTCTTGCCACGACTTGCACCTCAACGGCGTCGCCGGCGTCGGCCGCGCCGCGGCCCGCTCCGCCGACGGCCCCGCCGAGCGCGACAGCAGGGAGCTCTCTTCCATGCGAAAGTTTCTGAAGTGCGTCCTCGCCCGAGCGATTCTCTTCGGAGGCGGGTGTGCGCGCTTTAGATCGAATGGGCCCCAGTCTCACAGCGCCGCGCTGCTCGGGGGCCCATTGGCGGAGGCTGGATTGCCCGCTATCAGGCACAGCGAAAGGCTGCGCAAGTTGAGCGAGGAAGCAGAGGCTCCAGGGTTCGCGTGAATCGCGCGAGCGCCAATCCGCGGCAGGGCGGTTCAGGTAGATCCAGACATTGACGGTGGCGAGTTTGAGGCGCCGCCACCACCGCCGCCGCCTCCTGTGGAGGGCGAGGGCTGGGGCTCCAGCGCGGGCCCGCGCGTCGCTATCGGCGGCAGCGTTTTCGGATCATGACGGCGACGAGGTCGACGGCCAAGGTGCTGCCTCCCTACCCCGACGAGATTAACGGCCACCTGTCGAAGAGGGAGACGCACGCTGGACGAGTTGACTCTTGTCTACGGGTTGCGTGCCAGAGCCCTGGGCGCATCCAGTTCACGCGCTGCCGCAGCACCGCGTCGTGGACGACGGCTTCTTGAGTTGTTGCGCCAGTGTATTTCGTGGGAACTTGGGTGACCGGGAGTTTCGCGATGAGTGGGGATCGCAGAAAGTGGGGCATGGGACAATGATGTCAGATTTGTTGCATTATCAGAGACTTCAAATCATGTTCAACGCAGTGGGGTAAGAGATCATGATCGGAGCGTCTGGCTTCGATAGAATGCGCCAGCAGACCTGGTGCCTTGGAAAAGAATCGGCGACGCAAAGATGGGTGAAGCAACGTTGGAACACGAAGCACAGCATGCGCACTAAAGCACGCACCACGCACAAGTACAATAGGGGTCAAAAGTCCCAGGCAAACGCATCGGCCTCAAAATATGTAGCGTTTATCTGGCACTTCAATATTTCAGTTGCAATGGTACTAGTTGAGGTAACAACGCACGCTCACGCACGCGCGCGCGCACGCATGCGCGCGCGCCATGCTCTATTGCAGTGGCGCAAGCTCGGCTCGCGTGGATAACCTTGGCATGCGCAACGTCGGCGTCGGAAAATGCGGCGGGGCCCTATGTCTTAGAATTCGGCGGGGCAGGACCTCTACATGACGGGAGCTTATCAAGGTTAGCCCTGTGCTCGGGGCCCAACTGGCCGGGATTTTGTCGGGCGGGAGCGTGGGGGCCATGCCCCGCGAGGTCGAACCCGACGGGGTGGGGCTCCATTGAGTAGCGGCATACGAGGGGGGGCCCATGGCGCGGGGCCCTATCGGGTCGGGGCCCGCAGCTCGCGAACGCACATATGCTCGCAGGTCGCGGGCCTCGCTGGCCCCGCTGCCCTCGCGTCGCTCGCGGGCCTCGCGGGCACTGAGTGGCTGGATTGATTTGCGCGCCCCAGGGGGCTCGTGGGCCGCGAGCGGCGCGCTCGCTGCCGCACTGGGCGCGCGCGTGGGGGGATTTGCATTGCGTGGAACAGAACGTGCACCAGAAGCAGCATGCCTTGGAAATCCCATCGGTCACCGTTCAGGAATTTGTTTAGTATCCAGGACAACCTGGCGCCTTATCCATTGAATCCACTACCTCCCACGCCTGGGGAGTTCTGTATTGTTCACAATCGACGAGTCGCCATGTTGGCTTGGGATCTAGAGCTAACCCTGAGCGGTGACCGAGCCGATTTCGGGCGACGCGCGCGGGCGCCAGCCGCGGGCGGGTGACCATGGTCACCCGCGCGCGCGCGCGCGTAATGAGCTTTGTATTGTCTACAATGGGACAGTTGCCATGTTGGCTTGAAGATATAGTGAACCCTAACGGTGACCGAACGGGTTTCGAAGTTCAGATGTTTTTCTATACATTCCCCGCACTAGCACGTACACACGTTGGCAACTCAAGTGAAACCTTGGCGGTCTCCGAATAGGGCTCGCGGGTGACACCTGTCACCCGTGCGCGCGTCGGGGGGCTGCGTTGCCGACGATGAGACACCCGCAACGTCGGCCGGGAAATCCAAGCCAACACTGAAGGTGTCCGGTTTGATTTCTGAGCTAACATGGTTGTGGGATTATGTTCCCATTCAAGACACTACAGAGCTCTCCGCGAACTACTCTTGAACTGCGCGTGGCCAGAGCTGCACTGGCAGCCCCGAAAGGCTGAACCACCCTGAATTAGTCCTGGATTATTCTTGAACTACCAGGCCGCAGAAGCAGAACCACCCTGCGACGCACTACTTCTGAACTACTCTTGGTCTGCACGCGACCCGAAAGGCTGCGCCGCCCTGCACTACTCTTGGACTACTATTCAAGTACGAGGTCGGAAAAGCAGATCCACCCTGCGTTGCACCACGCATGAATTATTCTTCAAGCACACATGGCCAGAGCTTCGCTGGCAGCCCCGAAAGGCTGAACCACCCTGAACTAGTCGTGCTACTCTGGAACTGCGAGGTCGCAAAAGCTGAACCACCTGCACCACTCCTGAACTACTCTTGACCTGCACGTGGCTTGAGCAGCACTGGCAGCCCGAAAGGCTGAACTAGTCCTGAACTATTCTTGAACTACGAGGTCGCAAAGCTGAGCCAACTTGCACGACGCCTAAACTACTCTTGAATTACACGTGGCCAGAACTGCACTGGCAGCCCTGGCCACCCTGCACTACTCCTGAATTACCCTTGAACTGCACGTGGCCAGAGCTGCGCTGGCCGCCCCGAAAGGCTGAACCACCTTAAACTTGTCCTGGGCCACTCTTGAATTACGAGGTCGCAAAAGCTGAGCCACCCTGCACTACTGAACTACTCTTGAACTGCACGTGGCCAGAGCTGCGCTGGCAGGCCCGGAAGGCTGAACCACCCTGAACCAGTCCTGAACTATTCTTGACCTGCGAGGTCGCAAAAGCTGAACCGCCGTGCCAGAGCTGCGCTGGCCGCCCCGAAAGGCTGAACCACCCTGAACTCGGCCTGAACTACTCTCCAACTACGAGGCCGCAAAAGCTTAACCACTCTGCGCCGCTCCTGAACTACTCTTGAACTACACGTGACCAGAGCCGCACTGGCAGCCCCGAAAGGCCTGAACCACCCTGCACTCGGCCTGAACTGTTCTTGAATTACGAGGCCGCAGAAGGTGAACCACCGCGCACTACTCCTGAACTACTTTTGGAAAACACGCCACTGGATCGCCGTGTAGTGGAAAAGGGGAGGGGGGGAGTCCGCCCGCCCCTCCCCCCCCGGGGGGTGGCTTCTTCGCGCCCCCGAGGGGTGCGCTGGAGGGGTGCGGGGGTCAAGCGCGGTGGGGGTCGGGGTGGGGTCCGAGCGAGAAATTGCAGGGTAGGGGATCTCAAGAACAGAGGTCTCGAGGGGAGCGCTGGGAAGTGCGGGAGTCAGACGGGGTGTGGGTCGGGGTGGGGTCCGGGCGAGAAATTATTGGGCGGGGGATCTCAAAATCAGAGGTCCCGAGGGGTGCGCTGGAGGGTTGCGGAGGTCAGACGCGGGGCGGGGCGGGGGAGGCCCGGGCGAGAAATCGCTGTGGGGGGGGTCAAAGAACAGAGGTCCGAAGAGCGCGGTGGAGGAATGCGGGGGTCAGACGCGGGGGGGGTCGGGGTGAGGTCCGGGCGAGAAATTGCTGGGCGGTGGGTTTGAAGACCAGAGGTCTGGAGGGGTGCGCTGGAGGGGTGCGGGGGTCAGAAGGATGTCGCACACGCCTTCTGGGGTCGGCGAATTTACAAAGGTGCATTGTCTCGGGAACTCAATTTTTGTGTAATTCACAAGGGGTGATGGCCTCGGGGGCGCCAGTACTGTGCAACCTTCGAGGGTTTATGGCCTCGGGCACGCGAACATTCTGAAGCTTGTTCGATTTATTGCTTGGTAAACTAGTCTCATATTCATGTGTCCCACGACCCCCCGATAAATTCTGACTCCGGGAGGGCGCGGTGTAAGCCTGTTTGGGGCTCCGCCCCCTCGCGCGGACTTCCACAGCTTGCAGTAGGAAGCACAAAGCTAGAACTTGTGCAGGGAGCAGCAAGGCCCCACAAGGGGGCTGGCGCATAGCCAGATTGGTGTCCCGTGGTTTGTCCGGTGGTTGTCCCGCGGTTGTCCCGTGGTTGACCCATTGTTGCCCCGCCGTGGTCCCCAGGTTGTCCGGTGGTTGTTTCGTGGTTGTGTGTGGTCTTCCCGTGGTTGTCCCGTCGTTGTCCGCGGTTGTTTCCCGGGTGTCCCGTGGAGCACAACGAGCATGACATCATTGAGGGGCGCCGGGAGAGGGAGGAAAGAGAGGAGGAGGAAGAGGACACGGAAAAAACAGGATACGGAGGAGGAGGAGGAGGAGGAGGAGGAGGAGGAGGAAGAAATGTCATGATACAGGGGCGCAGGGTTGGGAAAATATATCAGCGCATCTGGATATGAGGAGGACCAGGAGGAGGACGAGGAGGAGGAGGAGGAGGAGGAGGAGCAGGCCAACGAGGGGGATGAGCATGTAAGGAAGGATGATGGAGGAGGGAGGGGCAGAAGGGGGAGGGAAAGGTGGAGGAAGAGGAGGAGGAGGAGGAGGAGGAGGAGGAGGAGTACACATGGAGGGGTGGACGAGGAGGAGGAGGAGGAGGAGGAGGAGGAGGAGGAGGAGGAGGAGGAGGAGGATGGAGGTGGGCGGCAGCCGGCAGCAGGACGGAGTGGTTGTGGCGCGTCTCCCCCCTCGCGGGGTGCCCGCCCGTCCGACGAGGCAACGAGGACATGGTGCGAAAGCTCTGCCAGGGGCTGGACCTCCAGATTGTAAGGGCGCCGCTGTCCGCCTCGTGGAGGGGAGGGGACGAACGAAGTCGTCCTGTCTACCTCGGGGAGGGAAGGGGCGGGGGGGAGGTGGAGTGGGGGGGAGGGGGAGGGGCAGGAGCGTGAAGGTGTTAGGATGGAGGAGAAGGAACAAGGAAGGAGTATCCGCAGCACATGGTTGAGCAGGGGGAGGGGGAGGAACGATGATGATATTGATATGTACGTATACCCAGCTGCCTGCAGCAAGTTTCGCCACTGTGCCAGCCCAGCATTCTGGGTGGCGACTGTTCGAAAGGACGCGGGAGGCCGTGACATGTGAAACATCGTGTCCCCATGTTTGGAGAAGCAAGCCGTGATGATATGTTGATGTTGATGATGATGATGATGATGATGATGATGATGGTGAGGATGGTGATGGTGATGATGGTGATGATGGTGATGATGGCGATGATGGTGATGATGATGATGATGCTGATGATGATGATGATGATGATGGTGGTGGATGTTGCTGATGATGATGGTGCTTCTAATTGTCATGGTGATGATGAGGATGAGGATGAAGATGCTGATGGCGATAGTGACGATCATGTTGATGCTGATGATGGTGATGCTGTTGCTGCTGATGATGATGGTGATGATGATGATGATGATGATGCTGATGCTGATGATGATGATGATGATGATGATGATGATGATGATGATGCTGATGCTGATGCTGATGCTGATGCTGATGCTGATGCTGATGATGATGATGATGATGATGATGATGATGATGATGATGATGATGATGATGATGATGGTGGTGGTGGTGGTGGTGGTAATGATGTGAAGGAGGAGGAGGAGGAGGAGGAGGAGGAGATGGAGCAGGAGGAGCAGGAGGAAGAGGAGGAGGAGGCGGAGGAGGAGGAAAAGGAGGAGGGGGAGGAAGGCCATCACATGTGACACCTTTCGTTTACACTTGTTGATGAGCCCTCACGGAACGCGTTTGTGTTGTTGGGTCGCGGGGTGGGTCGCGGGGTGGGTCGCGGGTGGGTCGTGGGGTGGGTCGTTGGTGGGTCGCGGGGTGGGTCGCGGGTGGGTCGCGGGTGAGTCGCGGGTGGGTCGCGGGGTGGGTCGCGGGGTGGATCGCGGGGCGGGTCGCGGGGTTGGTCGCGGGTGGGTCGCGTTGGGACGGCAACAACAACAATCATCTTATGATTGTTCGCCCTTATCTGTTCGAGTTTCCAATAACGCGTATTTCCCAAACCCTCGATACCCGCCCTCTTCGTCTTCGATCGAACCCCTTTTGGGGGGTATACCTTTCTTCCCTGCAGGCCTGGCCCCGGTAAGCGGCGGGGCGGCCGCGGACCGCCGGCCTGGCCAGCGGCAGCGCTGATCGGCGGGGCGGCCGCGGACCGTCGACCCGACCCCAAGAGGGACGGACAGGGGACCGACCACGACGACGACGATGACGACGACGACCACGACGACGACGACGACGTCGACGGCGACGACGACGGCGACGGCGACGGCGACGACGACGACGAGCGAAAGCGAGAGCGAGAGAGAACGACAGCAGGGCCACGACGGACACGAAGCAGGCCACGAAGGGCGACAGCGTGGACACGAAGGGAATGCGTATGGGGCCACGAAGAGCGCGAACGCGCGGGGGCCACGAAGGGCAGATAATACGAGGCCACAGAAGGCAACGATGGGGCCACTGAGGGCAGCAACTGGGCCACGTAGGACAGTGATGGGGGCCACAAACGGCGACTGCGGGGCCACGAAGGGCATGCACAGGGCCACAACGGGCGCGAACGAGCGGGGGCCACGAAGGGCATGCGTAGATAGGGCCGCGGAGGGCAAGGACGGGGCCACTCAGGGCAGCATCGGGGCCACGAATGGCAGCGAGGGGGCCGCGAGGGGCGACAGCGGGGCCACGAAAGGCATGCATATGGGGCCACAGCGGGCGCGAACGGGCGGGGGCCACGAAAGGCATACATATATGGGGCCACGAAGGGCAGCGAGGGGGCCACGAAGGGCTGCAACGGCGCCACGAGGGGTTGCAACGGGGCCACGAAGGGCAGCGAGGGGGCCACGAATGGTTGCAACGGGGCCACGAAAGAAAGCGAGGGGGCCACGAAGGGCTGCAATGGGGCCGCGAAGGGCAGCGAGGAGGTCACGAGGGGTTGCAACGGGGCCACGAAAAGGGCAGCGAGGGGGCCACGAAGGGCTGCAACGGGGCCACGAAACAAAGCGAGGGGGCCACGAAGGGCTGCAACGGGGCCACGAAGGGCAGCGAGATCCCGATTCCGAGTTAATCTGTGAGGGGGTCCTAAGCGTGAGCGCGACTCCTGGGCGCCTGGTTGTCGGGAGCGCGGCGCTTGAGTATATTGCAGGAGGTTCCAACGCAAGGGTGCTACTTTTCAGTAAATTGCAAGCAAGTCTCCCGCGACTGCGCGACTGCAGAGCGCCGGCAGAGCGATTCCTGAATTCATTGCGAGGAAGTCCCAAGCGAGAGCGCGACTCCTGAGTTACATGCGAGGCAGTCTCGGGCGTGAGCCGGGGTCCTGGTTAAATTGTGAGGAAGTCTCAGGCGGGAGCCGTTGCTGTTGTAACCCAGGGGCCAGGGTCACAGTTTGACTATCACAATTTTCACTGTCAAAGAACAGGGTGCGAGCGTCGAGGGGCACACTTTGATTAAGAAAAACAATATGCACCGATGGGGGATGATCAACAATCATTATTCTTCTGAACTGAAAACTCAACAACAGCAACAACCAACAACAACAAACACAACAACAACCACAGCAGCAACACACATGTTCTCGTCATGCGTGATGCTTCCGCACGAAACGACCACCGTGATAACCATCCCCATCATAGGGGGGCATTTGTTTTATAGCGGGGTCCGTTGTTCCCATTCCCAGATCTCCCGCCCAAGGTGGTCTTGGAAACACCTCCTCCAAGGAAATTCGACAGATCCTGCCCCGAAAACGCATGCCCGCGCCTTGCTGCGCCGATGCGAGACCGCCAGCGGAACCCCAGCGAAGGGTGAAGCACAAGGAAGAATCGAACGACACGATTGCCTTGGTGGTGATTGGGGCTGTCGGCGGCGAGGCAATGACCTGGCCCTGAATAGAAAAGGGGGAAGTCTCGAGCAGGGCCGCTGTTGTTTGCTGGGGGCGGCGCCGATGCTGAAGAGAGCAGGGCGCTAGCCCAGTGAAAACAAAACGAAGTTTCGAGCAGGAACGCTGGTTTTGTCGGGACGGCGGCTGTTGGCGGCGATGAGGGTACCGCTTTGAGTAAGAAGAGGAGAAGTCTCGAGCAGGAGCCGTGGTTTTGTCGGGATGTGGGCCGTCGGCGGCGAACAACAGCACCGTCCTGAGGAAAAAGGGACGAAGACCCGAACGGGAGCGTTGTTTTTGCTGGGAGCGGCGCCCATGCAAAAAACAAAAGGGCGCCAGTCCAGCTCGAAACGACAGGATGTCTCGGGCGGGAGCGCTGGTTTTGTCGGGACGGTGGTTTTCGGCGGCGAAGAGGAACACCGCCTTGATTAAAAAAGGAGGGAAGACGTCTCGAACGGGAACATTGTTGTTGCTGGGGGCGGCGCCGATGAGAGAAAGAGTAGCGCGCCAGTCCAAGGTAAAACGGGAGGAAGTCCCGAGCAGGAGCCTTGTTTTTTTTCGCGACGGCGGTTTTCGGCGGCGAGGAAGAGCACCGTCTTGAGTAAAAAAGAGGAAGTCTCGAGCGGGAGCGCTCTTGTTGCTGGGGGCGGCGCCGATGAGAGAAAGAGTTGCGCGCCAGTCCAAAGGTAAACGGGGGGAAGTCCCGAGCGGTAGTGCTGGTTTTGTTGGGACGGCGGCTTTCTGCGGCGAGCAAGAGAACCGGCCCTGAATAAGAAAGGAGAACATCTCGAGCGGGAGCGTTGTTGTTGTTGTTGTTATTGTTGGGCCCCCTGGTGCACGCCCCCCCCCCCGCGCCTAGGCCGCAGCTACATTTTCATCATTTTCGTGAGGAAGCCTCAGGTAAAACGATGTGATCCAGATCCGGTTGTTTTGTTGTAATCCGTTTTCCCTTGCAAAAAACACTATAAAATGACATTTCTTGTTCTAATATAATCAAATTTCAAGAATCCCTTGCAAAAAATAAGGTAAAGTGGACATTCGCGCGCGCAAGACGAAATCCTTCCAAAAGCTTAGTGTTCGGAGCGATTTTAACATAAAAACATCAAAAAACCAATGGTTTTTCAACAAAAAAATGTCAAAATCTCATCCCGCGCGCTCTTGCGGATTCGTAGGAAACCCAACACTTTTTAAACATTTCTGTCAAACGGGCTTTTGCGAGCAACTTTTTCGAACTTCTGCGACAACGGTTGCGCACCTGCCAGGGCCATCATCCCTGTCAAATAATACCATGCGGGACACATTCGTTTTTTCTTCGCGCGCGCACGCCGTCGTCGTCGGCCGCGGGGCCCTGAATAGTAGCCACGGTCGTCCGCATGCCACGAAGTGAAGTGTCCGAACGTCATAGGGCGGGAAGCTGGGTGTGGGTGGTGGCGAAGAGTCGTTTGGAAATTTGGTAGAGCTTGAACCGGCCCCCCCACAAAGTGGGGGTATTGCCCGCCTCCTATGAAAACCCTGGCACTGGTGAGAACGGAGTGTCCCCAGTCTTAAATGATTGTTGTTGTTGTTGTCGAATTCTCATGTCTGAAGAATAGTTATTGTTGATCCCCCCCACCGGTGCGTAATGTTTTTGACAGGGAAAGTCTTCCTGCTCAAACTGGGCTCCTGGCCCCCGGGTTACAACAACAACGGTTCCCGCCTGAGACTTCCCAGAATTTAGGCAGGACCCCCGCTCCCGCCCGAGACTTCCTCGCATTTTAGGAATCGCGCTCTCGCTTGGGACATCCTTACAATTTATTAAGGAATCGCTCCCTCGGCGCTCTGGAGTCGCGCTCTCGCTGGAGACTTGCTTGCAACTTACTGAAGAATGGCCTTGCGTTTGAATTTCCTGCAACTTGCCCTAGC